TAGAGCAGATGTTTATCTTCCTCATTCATCAGCCATTGGAGAAGGGCTAGGGCCACGAAGATGATTAATTCTACCCATTGTTCTGGGAGGGTTTCCTGGTGGCCCTCTTCCATCATCATATCTGGAATCAGATGAGTTTCTGTAGCTTCTTCCTTTTTTCACATCTTGCTGTATCAGAGTTTTGAAAAACAAAACCAAACCTGGCTGTTCCCCTGAAGAAATCTGTTATCAAAGATAATCTCCACGAGGACTGACTCTGGCTGTTCAAACACTTGTCTATCTGAGATGTAAAGCATCTTTGCCTCTAGTTCTCTGCTTCCGAGCCATAAAGAAAAAAACTACAGACACGAACAGATTGGAGGCTTTCTGGGCTTGGGAGGTAGAGGGGAAGTTGCCTGTGGCATTTGGATATCTGTGACAGAATTGTTTTAAATCATGGTCACAATGATCACATGACCACAAATGTGATCAAACTGCATAGCACTAAATATACACACAGACACACAAATAGGTACATATAAAACTTGTAAATGTGACTAGATTCTGTGGACTGTATCAATCGTGATATCCTGGTCCTGGGTAGTTGTACTTAGTTATACAAGTTGTTACTTTTGGAGATAAACAAAGATCTCAATATGAAAATTTAAATTAAACATATAGCTGGGACAAGCAGTTTACCATTTTGAAAAAAACAGAATTAGGGCCATACTTCACAACAATAAACTCCCAGTGCACCAGGGATGCACATGTAGAAAGTGAAACCGTACAAGTCCTAGGAGAAAGCAACAGTGATTCCTCCTTAACCTCAGCGTAATAAAGGGCCCTCCAATCTCAGAAACAGATGCAATATAATAAGACATTGGAGACTTAGAAATATTGCAAGATTTTATTATACTTATTATATTTAAAGAAGCCATCATCAAACCAAAGTCAACATACAAATTTGGAGAAAATATTTGTAAGATACATCAGAGATAAAGGATTAATATCCCTACATTAGTTTGCCTGGGCTGCCGTAACAAAAACCAAAGACTGTTGTTTTATCTACAAAGAATGACAGGGCTTTGCTCCAAAATCCTAAGGAACTGCACTGTGATTTACCTCTTGGGCCCTACCCAAGGCTCCAAACAGCATTGCTATCTGCCATGGACACATCAGACCCATTACATCTGCTGGATCATATGCCCCATGTGGCAATGACAATTACACAGTGGCCTGGACCTTTTGCAAAAGTAGTAGTAACTTTTGGAGCAGTCAGCAAATGGCTAGAGTAACACATCCTAGGAGGAATATGCTGTCTCCAAAGTCAAAGAGGCCAACTTGGCATTGGTTTTTGTTGTTGTTGTTGTTGTTCTTTCTTTTTTAGCTGTAGGAAGGGCCAGATGCGACAACTTACCTTCACCTTATAAGGGATAGCTCACCACCCCCTACCACTGGATATCTGGAAATGTCATTAATGTAGAAGTCCCCTGATTTTTTGTCAGATGTATTTCCTACCCTCTGACATGCAAATGTTTTACCAATTAAGTCTAGTTTGTTACATCTTGTTTGCTAGTCCAATCAGTGTAATGGCATTGATGTAATGACCAGTGTAATTATCTTGTGAAAGAGACAGGTAATCAAGATTGCTGTGAGCTCAGTTGATGTGTGGCTGGAGAGTCACACAGCGAAGGTGATTTGCTGGACTGTCAGTCAAAGGAAACTGCACGTGGTAGTCTCTGTTAACAGGGATGGAGAAAAAAACTATGCAGAAATAGCTGACAGCAAGTACTAGAGGATGAGTACAAAAGCAGCACAACCACATTTGGCACAGCAGCTGCAATCAGTCACCACCTTACAATATGCCACTGTTTCTCTTCAAGATCCAACCGTCTTCCACTCAGGCCAAACAGGCAAGTTGAGCAGGGATAAGTTGGGAGTCACCACTCCTGCATCCTTCAAGTCCTTCACGGTGCCTTAATCTCTGCAACCTCTCCAGGGGTAAGGTATTGCTTTTGCCTATTTTTTAGGTAGAGGCAGTGTGAGTAGCTTCCACTTTTCCCAGTATAACAGCCACACTCTAGAGACACATGTGATATTCTGCCATTTACCGAGTGTGTTTACTCCAATTATATTTTCTCATACCCGGGAAACAGTATAACAGCCACACTCTAGAGACACATGTGATATTCTGCCATTTACCGAGTGTGTTTACTCCAATTATATTTTCTCATACCCGGGAAACAATCACAGAAGGGTTTGGAGGACCCGTTGCATTGAAGCAGACCAGAGCTTAAACTCTATCAATTACCTAACTTCTACAAGCCCCTACTGACTGGTAGACTACAGTGATGTTTTGGATCTGCTGGAATTAGTGTCTACTCAGAACTAATATTAGGGTAATTCCTACAAGATCTTACTATTCCTTTCCCCAATGCACACACCCTGGTTAAAGCCATAGGAGGGCTTGGGGTGTGACTGAAAAGGTGGAGCTCCTGTCTAGCAGGCAATAGGCTTGGAGTTCAAACCACAGTAACTTTCTCTCTCCTCTCTCTCTCTCTCTCTCTCTCTCTCTCTCTCTCACACACACACACACACCACACACACACAAAGAGCGTAGGTCTCTTTGGGAAGACAGAGAAAAATTAATAAATTTTTGTAGGTGTACTGGGACTCTTTCACAAAGGACCTGGCTTCCTTTCTTTTTTTAGTTCTATTATTTATTTTTAAAATATTTTTGAAAAAATATATTTTTACAGTATTTTCAACCTAAATATTCACACTGAATAAATAGCTTAACCTACCTAAATATGAAATTTAAGACACCAAAACTGTTCTAGCTTTGCTAAAAGAAAAGTTGTGCTGCAAACTATTGTCCTGATGGTTAACAAACTAAGGAAAAGCACCAAATCATTCTCTAATCTTTGTTCAATTGGATTATGGGCTGGTGTTGGCCCTACGTTAGAATTCTTGCAGGTATAGCTATGTCACAATGAATCCTCAAAGGATGCAATTCTCAAATCATCTATCCTCAGACATAACCTCAGGAGTAGAGTTTAGTATGTCTAATGTGATAAAATATCAGGAAAGCCACACTAGCTCTTATCAATCGTCAAAGACATACTTGTCTATAATGAATTATTTCAAATTATATAATTATTTCAAAGTAACTAACAGACTTTCAGAAAAGGAGATTCTTTTTAATGAGGGCAAATGCAATGGAGAAATCTGCTTAACAATTAGAACATAATTTGAACTTACTTTTTACCATGTGTACACATTAAAAACTGTTAGTCAATCCTAAGGGACCAGTTTAGCCTCAAAGATGAGAATTCAGTAAGAGTCAGAGACTTTTTTTTTTGACTTTTTAGCAAGGATTTATGTTAGAATAACAGGATAAAGTATAGATGGGGGGAGGGGAGAAAAAGAGAAACCTCCTGTTCCCCAAACAGGAAATGGGAACAAAGACTCCCAGTCACAGGATTTTAAAAAATTTGGTGCTTTGTCACAACTTGACTTGTGCTTGTTTTTAAATTTATTTTTATTTATTAATTTATTTAAAATATGGAACGCTTCTTGAATTTGTGTGTCATGCTTGCACAGGGGTCATGCTAATATTCTCTGTATGGTTCCAATTTTAGTGCTGCTGGAGCACTTCTCTCCTCCCTGTCTTTACATTAAGTCATGGAACCAATTCTACTTTCAGTAAATGTTTGACAGCTTTTTACTTAATAACAGTTTCAGCACTTTTATTATGAATGTAAGACTAACAAAAACTTTGGCAACATGTAAGTGTTTAGAGGTAAGGAAAGTGAAGGGTATAACAGGTATCACCTCATCTTCAGTCCCACAATGGCCACTGCCTTCTCTGACAGTCACTATATTCAGGTAATCCCGTACACTCTCTTTTATACACACTTTCAGCTCACATTCAAACACACACAAAATAACACCAAATCTATGATGGCCCATTCAGTCATAATCAGTTAAAACACACGTATCAACCTCAAAGCCAGTATAATCACTTGCCCCTTCCCTGTCATACACCTCATCAGAGACTTGAATACATTCACAGACTACTTTCCCATACTTTACATACTTAAAGGTCCCCTCCCAGGGACAGTCTCAAGTGCAAACCATTATAATAAATGACCAAGAACTAGACACAGAAGCACAATTTCGTGTCAAACCGAAGCAACATTTCCCAACACGTTTGGTGACGGGGTTACTGATAGCTCAGCAAGGTTAAAAATCTTTCCTATGTATTTTTCCCGCCTGGCTGATAATAGGTACTCGCATCCATCCTTCTGTCAGTGCTGATCCCATGCACACACTGAGGATCAGGGCAAGCTCGCCCTGCTCCGGTGATCTGTGACTCATCCACCTCAGTCCCTCCTGGTCCCAACTAGCTTCGTCTTTTCTCACGATCTGACCCCCTCTTGCAGTCACAGCCGGAGCTGTCCGCTGGTCACGGGTGGACCCAGCACAAACTGGTCACAGAAGGTTACAAAGCCGCCGTGCCCGCGGCGCTCCTCCCGCAAACACGGTTGCAAAGTCTCCCGCTGAAGCCACATCACGCGTCATAATCACCGCACGAACCCACCAGGTGGACAGCACAGCCGCCCTCTCAAATGGTTTCAACACCGTTTCACGTCCAAGCCTCACCGTCGGGGTCACGTCAACCTCTTGCTCTCACCTTCCGACACGCACGTGCAGACTCACACTTCCCCCACCACGTCCTCACAAGTGAAGGGGGCGTGTCCCTCCACAACTGACAACAACTATTCTATTAAGCCACTTGCCCATGCATGGACAGCCACGGGGTCAGCTCAGAGAATTTCGAATTCCAGAACCCACACCGAAACCGCGCACGTCTGTGACGTCAGGCCAGCACTGAGTGAAACTGCGCCTGTGCCTTCCGAGGCCTGGCGGAACACACTAGGCTTCTCGACCCTGCCCTTCCCCTCGGACTACATTTCCCAGAAGACACTGCGGCCCAAGGCCCTTCCGGTAGGATCTCCGGTGGGATGGCATTCTGAGCGTGTGGCCTCCCTTGGAATCTGAGTCAGAACTTGGTCCAGAGACCTTCCTGAGGATGCCGAATGCGAAGAGTCCGGAGCCCTTAAGACCGTGGAAGAGCAATTTCTGTAGGTGTAGGCCCCTGAGTGCAGGAGCAAGCTTAGGAGGGGTGGGTCGTGTTGTGAGCGTTCAAGGGAGGCCACGGTTTTTATCTGTGGGCTGTGTGTGGCTGCTTATTATGACAGCGACTGAGGGCGTGGTTGTGCTTTTGTGACAGTGTGGTTGTGTGTGTGACTATTTGTGTGAATGGAGTTTGTAGGTGATTGTTACCATGATTGTGGGTGGCTATTTGTGGACATCCCATTTACTTATACGAAACAAAAGTACGTTTACATAAACTCGTGGTATTCGCAGGCTCACCCTATTAAGGCACTTAAGGATACACTTGAGTAGTCAGCTGTAGATTCACACACAACACAAAGCCAAAATCGTGTTGTCTGACCCACTTTTATCACCACACAGCTCAGGAAAAAACCACATACATATAGTATGCTTATGTACATAGTGTGTTTTGATTTTTTTCAACGATTAGGCCAAAATACACATTGCTTTGTATTTCTTTATTAAGATATTAGGGAACTGAGGGTGTAGGTCAGTTGTAGATGACTGTCTAGCCTGTCTGGGGTATTGGGTTACATCCTCAGCACTAGAGGAGTGGTTGGGAGTGGGGAACATACTTGGGTCTTTATGTCTGTATTTAAGGACAGGTTTAACAAGATTTTCCACGGTGCTTCCAGGTGTGATTCTTCTTTCATTCGTAAAGTGCTGCTTCAAACTGAAGGCTTACATGTATATTTTGCTCTGAAGATTTTGTTTTATTTATTTCTTGTCTTCCATCTGTGTTTTAGCCTCTATTTATGAAATGCTTCTTACACATACATCGGGTCTTTAGGGTGTCTTTCCTTGATCTTTTCTTCTCATAATGTTTATTTCCTCCCGATTCAGTGAGAATCTGCTTAGATCAGTTAGTACTCAGTTATGAGGAGTTGGGTAAAGTCTATCTCATTTTAGTGTTGGGACTCTAGCTTAGCCTAAGTCCCTTCTGCTAAAAAGCCTGTGCTCTGTTTTTCTTGAATCTATTTTGCTTTAGTTGGGTTTACTCATGGTTTTGAGTAAAGTTGGGATTTTCCAAAATTTCCTCTAATCACTTATGTATACATATATACATAAGCCAGGGAGTAGGAGACTTGCTAGGGGAAGAAAAATATTATAAATGAGCATTTTGAAAGCTCAAAGGAAACCATCTCCTGTCTTTGTTTTAAAGCTCGCCTCTCATCTGGCAACACCTTTGGACTGAGTTTCTTTTAGAATGGAACCCAGAAAAGGATTAATTCATTCATTCACCTCTAAAATAAGTCATGGCCCATGTAAGTTGGTGTTTTCTTTTTCATAATTGAAGTATTTTTCTTCATATTTGTATTCTTTATCCTGATACTGTTATCTAACTAAGAATTTTACAATAATTTCCTAGTTTGTAAGCATTGGTATCAAATGTTCAAGGTATTCCCTTTTTGCTACTCTCCTCCCCAACCAGTGTTCATATATTCATAGAATAAATAATTCCTCATCTCCCATTTGCTCTATCATGTACCAGAAACAAAGCAGGAACAGAAATAGTATTTTTTTGATAAAAAGTGTTGGGAGTGATTATAAAGTTGAATTAGTAGTTGAGCATGGAAATTAAGTTGAGTAAGAAGTGGGGGTAACACATGCCTGTAATCCCAGTACTAGAGAGGCAGAGGCAAGAAGATCTTCAGTTTGAGGCCAGCCTGGGCTACATAGTGAGATCATATCTCAAAAAAAAAGTGAAAGAAGAAATATGAATGGGGTGAGTGACAGTATGAGAGTGATCAGATAGAAGGACACTTGATATTTTGGAGATTATTACTAATGACAGGGTCTAGAGTGAATGGAGTAGACAAGTGAATGGAGGACAAGATCATAGAAGTGGAGGAGTTTGGGGATTTGGAGGACAGGATGTTAGATGAACTCATATGTAAATGTTTGAAGTAACTGAAAAATTAAGATTAAGTAATAGTGGAGATAGTGGTGCTGAAGTAGGAGCTAAAATTTCTGAGTGGGGACTGAGTGCGGATTAGATACAGACATGATTGGTGCTTGCACAGAAAGAAAGAAGATCTTGCCAGAAAATGGACAAACTCCAGTTTCAGATTAAACAGGAAATGTTAGGCTGAAGTTACATCTATGGGTGTCTGGGTTATTCTTCATCAGTATTCTCTAACTTAGGAACAGACCATAATAAGAGTACAGGTGGATGATAAGATCTCTCTCAGGTATAGTTGCAAAACATGGAATATATGCCTTAGGAAAGACTTTAGAAACTGCCTACCCAAAGTTTTAAGTTTAAGAGAATGGTTAAATCTTTTAATTAGAACATCAAATGCTATGCAACTAATAAAAAGTCACTATTGGTATTGTTGCATAACAAAAACATCCTAAAATTAATATATTAACACAACAACAGACATGGTTTGGCTGAGACACCTGTAGTCTGAGCAGGCTCAGTAGGGATGGCTTGCTTCTGTTCCATGTGGTATCACTGAGCTGGCTTAATTGGTTGCTGATGATGCCCTTTCAATGTAGTTCCCTTACATGACTTGCAATCTGTTGCTGGCTTTTGGGGAAGGGGGTTTAATTCTTTTTTCCCTTTGAGCTATTTCATGGGTTACTTAGGCATGGTGGCTGAATTTCAAGAACAAGCATCTCAAGAAAGTAAGACAGAAGTATGAGACATTGTGATCTAGCTTTAGAAGTCACATAGTCACTTCTCTCATACTTAAAGGTTAAGTCACGAATGTTTTTTCAGGTTCAAGAGAAGGAGGCACAGATCTCTATACCAATTAGGAAGGGGCATGTCAACGATATATTAAAGAAGAGCATATAGGATACAAATGCTACCATGTCCATCTTTGAAAGTTATAGTCTATACAAGATACTTACTAAAGAATTTGTGCAAGCTGGGTGCCATTGCCCGTGGCTTACTCATGGCTCATGCCTGATCCTAGCTACTCAGGAGGCAGAGATAAGGAGGGTCTCATTTCAAAGCCAGCCTAGGAAAATAGTTCTCAAGATCCTATCTTGAAAAAAGCTCATTATAAAAAAGAGATGGTGGCATGGCTCAAGATATAGGCCCTGAGCCAGGCACTGTAGCTCACAGCTGTAATCCTAGCTACTCAGAAGGCAGAGATCAGGAGGATTTCGGTTCAAAGCCAGCCCGAGCAAATAATTCATGAGACTCCATTTCAAAAAAAACCCTTCACAACGAAGGACCAGTGGAGTGGATTGAAGTAAAGGCCTTGAGAAAAAGAAAAAAAAAATTGTGCAAATAATCCCAGCACTCAGGACGCTCAGGCAGAAGGATCATGAGTTTGAAGCCAGCCAAGCTACATACCCAGACTCTGCCTCAAAAATAAATAGATAGATAAATAAATAAAATAGGTAAGTAAATAAATAGAATTTGTGAGAAAAGTAAAATGCCATAATAGGCATTAATGATGAAGGAAAATCTTCAAGTCTTTTTATCCAAGATGGAGACTTTAGTAAGACATTCTTGAAAAATTAAAAGGTTTTCAGCTATTTAATTTGGTTGGAAGCTATACACACACACACACACACACACACACACACACACACACACATACGTACATATATTTGTCAGTAGTGTGGTTTGAACTCAGGGTCTCACATTTGCTAGGTAGGCAGTCTACCACATGAGCCACTCTACCAGCCCCTATGTATTTTCTTAATTTCTAGATGACTGTCTAACAGGAATTTCCCTCTGTATGCAAGAGAATGTGTCTGTAGAAACCAAACTGGTGAAGAACAAGTAGCCACTCTGCTTTAGTTAGCCTAAATTCCTTTTTGAGTCAGGTGTACAGATTCAGCCTATATACTCACTGTTCATTCCCCTTTGTTGCAGTGCCTTTTAGCACCTCTCTTTCCTTTAATTCATTGTGATTTGTCATTTCAGGGGTTGGTGTCATTCAGAGATGTGGCTATAGACGTCTCTCAGGAAGAATGGGAATGCCTGAACCCCACTCAGAGGAATTTGTACAAAGATGTGATGTTGGAGAACTATAGCAACTTGGTTTCACTTGGTAAAGTTACCTAACAGTTCAGAATTCTTCTACCAACTCTACCTCTTGGAGTTTTGCTTTCTCCCCTGTGAATTTTAGGACTAACTTCCTATTAACTAGATGGATTATTTTTTCTTTGTGTAGAAAGAGCACACTTAAATGAATGTCCACTTTCATTTCTTCATCCTCACCCGTTCTTATATTTTACTGGGTATTGAACTGAGGGCTCTACTACTTCAGCCATGCCCCTAACGTTTTTTCAAATAACTTTCTTCTTGGATGACTAAGGGAGCAGAGGTAGAATTCTGCAACATTAAAGCATAACGTCGTCAAAGAAACCAGGCTTTTTCTTTTTTTTTTCCTTTTCGACTCTACTAAACCTTCCAGTGCACTAGCATAGATTACCACTGATTTCATGGATCCCAAGTGTGAATCACTTTAGCTTTCCCTATTAATGTAGTGGTAGGCTAGATCAAGGAAGGTCATTTACTATTTACAGCTTAAATTGACACTATGCTATTTTTCATGACAAATGTGCTCTCTTTTATACTATTTTCATTTGGAAGTTATATTCAAAGAACTTTACATTTAGCATTAAAAAGATTTGAGAAAAGTTGGACATGATGACTCATGCCTCTGATCTTGGTACTCAAGAGGTGGAGGAAGGCGAACTATGAGTTAAAGGCCGTGGCTTTTTAGCTAGACCCTATCTTAAAACAAAACAAAACAAAACAAAACAAACCCAAACACCCTCCACCAAAAAAAATCTGAGAATAAATATCTCAGGAAGCTTTTTTTTCTCATAGCAAAAATTAGGGAAAGCTTATATAAGTTTAAGTAGTATTTACCTTGTTCCTTGTCATCTCATTTTATCTGAATATGGCTTATTTCATCCTTTATCATTTCTTTTTTTTTTAATCATCCCTTATCATTTCTTTCATCTATAAACCTTTTCAAGTACATTTTGGCCTGGAATTTATTTTTATGTTAATTAAGTCTGAGTTAGTGCGTTTGGATACTTTCATTTCCATCTAATCTCAGTTTTTTTCTTATAACCAGGACTTTCTGTCTCTAAGCCAGATGTGATCTCCTCATTGGAGCAAGGGAAGCAGCCCTGGATGGTTGTGAGGGAAATGACAAGAAGACAGTGCTCAGGTGAGGGAGCCATAATCTGGAAACAGGAAGTTGTTGCAGAATATTGGAAGCTGGCCAGATGTTGGGTTGGCAAGGTTATCAGGAAAAATAATTAGGCAAATAACTAGGGAAAGCCTGATTTCAAAACAATGAAACAGGGTGCTAGTAGCATGGAGACAGACATATAGACCACTGGAATAGTGTAGAGCATTCTGAAAGAAACCCTCTTACATACAATCAAATGATTTTAGACAAGGTGCCAAGACCATTCTTGGGGGAAGGACAGTAACTTTAACAAGTAATGTTGGCACAACTGGATAGCCAAATGCAGAAGAATAAAGTTGGATTATCTTACACCATACATAAAAGTTCACTTAAAATGATCAAAGACCTAAACACTAAAAACTCTTAGAATAAAATGTCAGGAAAAAGCTTTATAACATTTGATTTGGCAATGATTTATTGGCTATGACACCAAAAGCACAGGCAACAAAATCAAAGGTAGACGAAGGGGACTCCAGGAAGCCTAAAACTTCTCTTCACCAAAGGATACAACTAACAGCATTTATTAATTTTTAAAAAAGATTATTCATACAAGTTGTTTTGGTAGGTTATGTGAATAACATTTTAAAGTGTTACAATGACATTTTCAGTCTACTAGGGAATAAGAACATATGAACACTTGTTGCAGTAGAATACTTTGGAGAAATTAGGGTTGATTAGAAATTGGGAAAGTTAGTGAAAATCATCTATGACTACCTTGAGGATGTTGAGAGGGCAGACGGATGACTGGACAGACCATTTGGGATTCTGGAGGTCAAGAGCAGATCCATTCTTCAGGTCAGAGGTCTTTAATGATGTTCTTGGTTAGTGTGGTAGAGAATATGTTTGTGTTGTTTTAAGCCATACGGTTTGAGGTACGTTCTTGTGGCAGCCCTAGAGAGGAATCATGGAAAAATTATACATACTCTCCTATGCATTTTAATTTAAAGATGTCATTTCTTACTAAATGTAGTGGTACCTAGGCCTTAGGGAGCTGAGACAGGAGGATTAACATTTTTGAGACCAGCCTGGGTTATATAGTGAGACCCTGTCTCAAAAAAAAAAGGGGATAGTATTCCTTTACCAAGTTTTGCTTCCTGGCTAGACCTTCCTTTGGCAAAGGTACAATACCTTTTGTCCTGCATATTTTAAATTTTGCATGGAATAGTTGTACAGGGGGGTTACATTGTGACATTTATATATGTGCTTATATCTTAGAGTCACCCTCTCCATCATTCTCCCTCATCCCCCCAATAATTTTTTTAAATCTTTTTATTTTGAAATAATTATGCTTTCATAGGAGATTGCAAAGCAATGTGCAGAGAATTCTGTGTACCCTTCCTCTAGCCTTGGCCAACTTACGTCATTTCATGAATGTTATTTATGTGGAATTCTGCAGTTTGTTTCTTCCCCACAATCTGGAGATTGAACTCAGGGCCTCCCACTTAGGCAAGCACTCTACCACTTGAGTTACAACCCCAGTTCATGTGTTCTTTTGAGATTGGCTGTTTTCGTGTATTTCATACACACATACATATGAATGTACATGTGTCTTTGTTTGTTACATTAATGTGTAAGTAGTACACAAAAATAAGCCTTCATAGCTGGGGTGTAGCTTAGTGATAGAGTGCTTGCCAGTGTGTGTGAGTCCCTAGTTTCATTCCCCAGCCCAAAAAATAGGGAAGGAAAAGGGAAGGGGAACGGAAGGAAAGAAAAGGAAAGCTTCATTTGTAAGAATGTAATTGTTGGCTGGTATAGTAAGTCTCTTTTTAGTTTTGAAAGGAAATGCTAAAGTATTTTCCACAGTGCTTGTACTTTTACATTCCCATCGGCATGTATGAGTTTCCTAGCTATCGTTTGGTATTATAACCAGTATTTCATTTTAGTTCTTCTGATGATGGCTAATGGTATCTCATGTGGATTTAACTTGGTTTTTCTTAATGACAAATGATGTTGAACGTCTTTTCATGTGTCCATTCACCATCTGTATATCCTCTTCAGTGAAATGCCTTGTCCATGTCTTTTGCCCATTTTCTAATCTGATTGGTATGAAGTTTTCAATATTCTTTATGGACTCTAGCTAGAAGGCCTTTGTTGGGTATGTGACTTGCAAATATTCCCTTCTAGTCTATACATTTTTTTTTTTACTTTTTTTAAATGTTTTGTTTGTTTGAACAAGAAATAAAAGTTTTTTTTACTTTTGCTAAGGTCTAACTTACCCATTTTTTTCTCTTAAATTGTGTTTTTTTCTGTGTGGATATATCAGTAGGTATGTATTTGGTGTCAAATCTAAGAACTCTTTGCCTAGTTCTGGATCCTGAGATGTTCTTCCCTGTTTTTTTTTTTCCCAAACATTTTAATTTTACATTTTCATTTTGGTCTGTGATCCATTTTGAGTTCATTTTCGTAGATGTAAGGCTTAGGTCAAGGTTCTTTTTTTCTTCTTCTTCCTACCTCTTCTTCCTCCTCCTTCTTCATTTTAAAATAAGACAGGGTCTCACTATATTGCCAAGCCTGGTCTTGAATTCCTACATTCAAGCAATCCTCCTGCCTCAGCCTCCTGAGTAAATGGAAGTAGCTGGGATACAGGCCTATGCCACTGTACCTGACTAACCAGTTATCTTCATTTCAAGCTCTTCAAATTCTTTTATTGTTGTCTGATAGATCATTTTAAAGTTGTATTAGGGAAAAGTCCATCTTTGTGATTGTAATTTTGAATCATCTTTTTTCTAAGTGAACCTTAGAAAAATATATTTTCTGTGCTATTTACTTTGAATTCTTTAAAAGGGAGAAAGCTCATAAAGACAATGTGAGCACAGAATGCTTCAGTTTTATCTTCTCTCACCACAGGTCTTTGGCTGGTAGCAGTTTTTATTTTTGTTTTTTAAGTAGTTGTCATTATCCAGTCTTGCCAAAGCAGTTAGCTTAGTGAAGCAGCTGATTCTCATACTCTATGTTATAAACAAGCATGGGAACAAGTAACAGCTGACTTCTGGTAAACATACAACTTGTCTAGGATTAGCACAGAATGCTAGTAGCCCAGTAGTTGGTACCCCTATGCTTGCTGTCATAATGGAATAGAATGTTTCATTGAATGTTTCATTTAATCTAAGTAGTCTACCTTATGACTTAGTTATGACTTAGTTTAAAACTGATATGTTTTCAATGCCACAGAAGCTACCTATCTTCTCTCTGACTAGGCAATTAGATGTATGAACGTGGAGCTCTGGGGTAAGACAAAAAAGGACTGTGAAAGTGGCTCAAGTGGTAGAGCACTTGTCCAGCAAGCATGAGGCTCAGAGTTCAAATTCCAGTACCACCAAAAAAAGAAAAGTAGTTAAGTTGGGGCTAGGGGTACTGCACCTGCCTAGTATATGGGAAACCTGAGTTCAAACCCCAGTACACCCACACACCCACAAGAAAAAGAATTAAAATTGGGGTGAGAAAGTGACTCACGAGTGCTTGCCCACCTTTGCTCTGGCTTCAAGCCTCAGTCTTCCCGATCTCGGCCTCTCAAGTAGCGAGGATCACAGGCATGAGCCTCTGGCACCTAGCTGCCTTTATCTTAATTTTTTGGTAGTATTAGGGTTTAAATTCAGGGCTATACAAAGCAGGTGCTCTGCCACTTGAGGCACTCCTCCAGCCCGTATGTGTATTTTATTACAAAGTTTTTGTTTAAAACTAGAGGCATACTAGTGTATGGCTGGTACGTAAGACTAATAAAAGAATATAGATTTCAAAGAGGGTGGAATAGAATCTGAGTTCTAGGACATTCCCACATTCAGAGGTCATGGAGTAGATGCATTAAGGGAACTAAAAACAAGCGAGAGTGTGTGTCTCACTCCATCTCTGTTGGTATAACAGAACACCCAAGGCTGGGTAATTTATGAAAGAAAGTTTATTGTGCTCATGTAGCTGAAGAAGGGAAGTACAGGATTGGGAGTTGACCACATCTGGTCAGCATATCATCCTGCATCATAACATGGCAGGAAGGCAGAAAGGCATGTGTGTATAGAAGAGAACACACAATAACCTACTCCCTACTGCCAGGCTGACTCACTCTCGTGAGAACAGCATTAATTCCTTCACAAGGACAAAGCTCCTGTGATAGAAATACCTATTTATTTAGAGACAGGGTCTCACTATTGGGCGGGCCCCCAATTTCCAATCCTCCTGCCTCAGCCTCCCGGGTGCAGGGATTATAGGCATATGCCACCATGGCCAACTATACAAACACCTCTTTAAAACCTTACCACTTCTCAAGACTGTTATGTTAGGAGCCAGATTTTATCATGGATTCTGTCAAACCACATCCAAATCATAGCAGCATGATATATAGGAAGCAAAAGGATTAATCAGGTATGTTACGTGTTGCTGAAGAGTCAGGTAGAATGAGGACTGGCACTTGAGCACTGATTGTAGCAAGGTGATCTTGGTGACCTTAGCTAAAAATCTTTTAATAGAATTGAAATATGTTATTAGTGTGAGTTACAGAGAAAATGGCTAACTTACATAGTCAATGGACTTAAGACAAAGGCAGGGAAAAGATGGTCCTTTGAATAAATGGTACTGAGTTAATTGGGTATTTGTCTAGAAAAATTGGAATGTTGTATTATACCTCACACGCAAAAAATCAAATCTAGATACAATATGGATCCAAAAAGTAAAAGAGTAAACTTTCTAGAAGAGAATATGAGTATGTTTTCATGACATTGGTATTCAGTTACCTTAAAATTAAAAACCTGTGTTCATTAAAACACATTGTTAAGACAATGAATGGGCTAGCTTTGAATGGGAAAAGATTTACAGTGCATATGTTGGTTACATTCAGAACATATTTCTACAGATTAGTAAGGAACAGACGGTGCGGAAACCACCAACATGGCTATTAACTGATGAATAGATAAATGTATCATATTCATGTAATGATACAATATTCAGCCATAAAAAATGAGTGCTATAACATAACTAAACCTTTAAAACATGAAAAATGAAAACAGTGAAACATGAAAGTCATATATCAGATGATCCCATTTATATGAAATGTCCAGAATAGGCAACTATCTTTACAGAGACCTAAAACAGATTAGTGGTTACCAGAACAGAGGGAAGAGGAGAATGGGAAGTGACTGTAGATATGAGTTTTCTTTTTGGAGTAATGAAAATATTCTTGGAATTAAATAGTGGTGATGGTTGTACAAGAGATCCTGTGTTACTGAACTATACAATTAAAAATGGTTAAAATGGTGAATATTATATTACATGAATTTTACCTCAAAAATCAATAGAAATGGATGAAGTTTATTCAGGGCAATGCTCATTGGGCCAATCAACATGAAAAAAGTGCTCAGCCTCATTTGCAGTCAGGAAATTACAAATTATACCACAATGCAATATTACAACATACTTACCAGGGCAAGCTACTCACAGAAAGATTGACAGTAATAATACAAGTGGTGGTGAGGATGTATGGAACTGGAACTCTTTTATAGTCTGATGCAATTTTAAATTAGAAAACTGTTGGATAGTATCCACTGAAGCTGAAGAAATGCATATCTTGTGATGCAGCCATTTTACCTAACAGATGGGAATCTCTATTAATAAAGAAATGAACAAGAATGTTCATCACAGTACTAATCACATAGCTATCTGGAAACAACCTGGACATCTGTCATTAGGAGTACAGAAAAATCAATTTTGTTATAATATTCAGCCATTGGTCTCAAAGTTTTAATTTTGAGGATAGCTTTACACTCTTTAAAATTATTGAGGACTCCAGGAGCTCTTGTATATATATCTTTTAACATTTACCATCTTAGAATAAAACCTGGGAAAAATGAAATATTTAATTCATTTAAAAATGATAATCTGAATGTTAACATAAATATTTTATGATAATTTTATTTCTCCAAGCAAAGCAAAGATATTTAGTGAGAAAAATGACAGTGTTTGGCTTGCATTTTTGTATATTTTCTTAGTTCATGGACTAAAAGAAGTTAGCTAAATTCTGATATCTGTGTCTGCATATGCTCTATTAAATTACAATCCATTGATCTATGTTATTATTTGAGTGGATTTCTTATCTGTGGTACCCATTTTATAACATTATACATTAATCATTTGGAAAATATTCCTTCAATTAGTCATACAAATCTTCCAGACTCTGACACATTTTCTTTCAAAATAACCAAAAAAGCAATTGTTTACTATGATCCTCCTGATCTTTACCTCTCAGATAACTAGGAAAAGAAACTAGTATTTGTTAATCTCACCACTAGTCTCATCAGAAAAGCCTTTAAGTATTGAGAAGATGTCAGACTCACAGTGGCTGATACAAGCATTCCAAAAGTCTAGCTTTTAACCTGAAAGCTGGAGTTCTATTATTGACAAATACAGTCAGTTTTTCTTGAAGTGACAGATTAATTTTTTAGAGTGCTAAACTGCCACGTTTAAATCACTATAGCTTATCTATTACTTTTTCAAGGAAAACTTGAATTCCATGAAAAAAAATGCGATGAGTTGGGGCTGGGGATGTGGCTCAAGTGGTAGAACAGGATCTTACTTAGCAAGCATGAGGCTCTGAGTTCAAAACCCCAGTACTGGAAAAAAAGTGATGAGTTCAATTTACAACTGGAACAGTCCAATGCATGCTTTTCCTAAAACAGCAGAACTATGTTTCATTATGTAGAACATTAAAAAGATGTGTATTGAAGAGCTAGGTTGAATAAAAGCAATATTTAGTGATCATGGGCATTCTTAAATCAGTCTGGAACTCCCCCCACCCCCAAGTCATGGCAGTGAAGAAAACAATGTATAATTTGAGTCACTGTTTTGATTCAAGCCAAGACACCATCAGATTTAGTCTTTTTTGCCTTTTGTATAATACATGATTTTCTAGGACAAATCAAGAAATTTTTTAAAAAAGTTATTTAAACCTGGGCACAGTGGTATACCCCTGTAGTCCCAACTATTTAGGAGACTGAGGCTATGGAGTCCAACAGTTCAAGGCTGGCCTGGGTGGTTTTTTGTAGAGATACCACCACAAAAAAAAGTTTTATTTGCTTTGAATATTTTCACGCTACACTGAAGTTTGTTACCTAGCATTTACATAAAAGAGGATCTACCAATGGTTATTTGGTAATGATAGCCAAATGCAAACAAGAACACAAGATCAAGCTATGTGGATGAATTCATTCACAGGACAAAAGTAAAATTCAGACTTCTTCTTTACAATTCAGATCTGCTGCCAAATCTGTAATTTGAGTTTATTATTTATTGAAAAATTTATTTCTGTAATTTCTTTTACTTCTAATCCAGCAAGAACTTATGAATATCACAAGTGACATACAAAATTACAACAAATTTAGTTAGAGATGGAATTGGCTTTTGTTTGTGATTTGTGAATTGAGGTAGCTTCCATTCTACAAAATATAATGAAAGCTCCCAACAAGCAAGAACAGAGTAATGGATTTTCTAAGGTGGGAACAGAAAACCCAGAAAGATAGCAAGAAAAAAAAACCTGATTGGTTAACATCAGTTTGCTTCAGTTGACTTTATTGTAAGGGTTTAAGCCAAGGGACCCTCCTAATTATGTCAGCTAAAATTGGTTTGTTTGGGAATTTTGATTTTCTTTCTCTCCTGATAATCTCAGGTTAGATAAACAACTTACTTATAGCTTGGTGGCATGAGTAACTCCATTTTGGTTTGCTCTGCTGAGCCTTGTGCAGGAGCTCAGTCCAAAACAATGGCCTCTTAAACATTTTAACACAAGTCTCAACTATTGTATGCAGTTTTCCAGTGTTTTTCCTATAAGATGATTTAGTAGCTTTTTCATTTTTAGTTTCAATAGTTGTAGCAAAACAACTGTGGCTTTTATTTATTTATTTATTTTGATGGTACTGAGGTTTGAACTCAAAAACTCATGCTTGCCAGGCTGTTGCTCTCCCACTTGATCCCCGCCACTAGCCCTTTTTGTGTTGGGTATTTTCAAGGTGGGGTTTCTCAAGCTATGTGCCTGAGTCTGGCTTCAAACCACCATCCTCCTGATCTTTGCTTCCTAAGTAGCTAGGATTACAGGGATGAGCCACCAGAGCCCAGCTCTGAGTGCTGTTATTATAGACTGCACCCCCACACCAGCTGTGTGTTTATTTCTTATTGCCTGGCATGTTTGAAGTAGTCGCCTTCCTCCCATGAATCAGAGGACTTTTTTCTTTGTCTTGTTCAGTATTTTTAGATGTAGACAGGATAACTGGATTAAGTCATCTTCATCCCTCACCTAAAACTCTGCTAAGAGGGTAGAGCTCATATTAAGGTTTCATACTACAGTAAATTTTTAAAAGTTGTTTTTATATTTAGTAAGTATCAATTACAGCATTCACAGTCTATTTCTTTTCAGCTTCTCAAGAAATGGAGCCTGGGAGGATGGCAGTTTAAGACCAACCCACACAAAAAGATAGGGAGACCCCCTTTCAACCAACAAAACAGTTATGTGGGTGCATCCTGTGATTGCAGCTATGCAGGAGGCCTTAGGCGGAAGAATGATTGTGGTCTGAGTCCAACCTTAGGAAAAACATGAGACCCTACCTGAAAGATAACTAAAGCAAAAAAAGGGCATGTAGAAAGTGTTAAATATACAGACTTCTGTGGATTCTGAATCACTTGTTCTCATTTTTAGACCATCTCCTTTAGATTTTGATTTGGTTGATCTAGAGCATTAAATGAATACATAATTAGCAGATCAAAATTTCAGCACCAATGAGTCAACTTATTTACCTAATTAGCTCCCTTAATTTCTCTCAAGAGCTCTCATTTCTTTGTGTTTCCCTCACCCCTTTCCCTTCAATTACAAGATAATGCTTTAGCAATCTCTTATTTATGAGAATTATTTTCAATTATGTGAAAATATTTTTCTTATAACACATAACTAGGAATTAAAATATATTTCTTATCTTTTAGATTTGACATCCAGAGATGAACCTAAGAAGTTATCTCTAAAAAGTGACATTTATGAAACAAAATCATCCCAGTGGGTTATTTTGAAGCAATTTAAAAGCCACAGTCCTGAGAGATCCATTTTCAGAGATATTTGGGAAAGCAAACAAGGACAGCAAGAGGACTATTTCAGGCAATTGATCATCAACCATGAAAACATGCCCATGGTCAGCCAACATACTTCATTCATACAAGAATTTTATGATAGAGAGAAAATCTCTGCATGTAAAAAATGTAGAAAAAACTCCAATTACCATTTATTCTTTAGTCACCACAAAGCTCATTCTAAGGAACTTTCTGAATATAAGGGTTGCACAGAAATTACTAATACACCATTCCTTGTTAAACAGAAAATCCAAAATGGGGACAAGTGTAATGAGTATAAGGCATGTTGGAAGACCCTTGTTCACTGTCCACAACTTAAACAACATTTGAGAATTCATAATGGTGAAAAACGCTATGACTGTCAAGAATGTGGGAAGGCCTTTAATTATGGCTCAGAGCTAATTCTGCATCAGAGGATTCACACTGGTGAGAAACCGTATGAATGCAAGCAATGTAGGAAAGCCTTTAGACAGCGATCACAACTTACTCAACATCAGAGACTTCATACTGGTGAAAAACCATATGAATGTAAACAGTGTGGGAAAACGTTCATTCGTGGCTTTCAACTTACTGAACATCTGCGACTCCATACTGGTGAGAAGCCCTATGAATGTAAAGAATGTAGAAAGACTTTCAGGCATCGCTCACACCTTACCATACATCAAAGGATTCACACTGGGGAGAAACCCTATGTATGTAGGGAATGTGGAAAGGCCTTTAGTTATCATTCAAGCTTCTCTCACCATCAGAAAATTCATTCTGGCAAGAAGCCTTACGAGTGTAATGAATGTGGAAAGGCCTTTTGTGATGGCTTACAACTTACCCTACATCGGAGGATTCATACTGGTGAAAAACCCTACGAGTGTAAGGAATGTGGGAAAGCTTTTAGACAGTGTTCACACCTCAAAAGACATCAGCGAATTCATACTGGTGAGAGACCTCATGAATGTGTGATATGTGGGAAAGCCTTTAAACTTCATTCACATCTGACTCAACATTAGAGAATTCATACTGGGGAAAACCCTATGAATGTAAGGAGTGTGGGAAGGTCTTTAGCTATCATTCGAGCTTCTCACATCATCAAAGAATGCATTCAGGAAAGAAGCCTTATGAATGTGTCAAGGCTTCTAATCATGGCTTACAACAGTGTACATCAGACAGTTCATACTAATGAGAAACTGGTAAGGTTTTCTCTCCTTCCTCCACACCCAAGTCTACCATCATGAAGTTATTTTTTGAGATACACATTTTCTTTGTTTACTTTCAGGAAATATTGCTAAAACATTGCATCTTGTTAGCATTGATACATTTTTCAAATCCTCAAAGCTGTTCTTTTTCAAGGGGCAAAATGGACAAGTAATTGAATAAAATTCATTCTGGTTTTGAAATAAATTATTGTATTAACTGAATTATTAGTTACCATTAAGAATGAATTTTCTAAAATTACACATTTTCACTAAAACCAGTGAAATAAGGGATAAATAAAATGAAGACAATTTCATCCCTGAGATAAATTTCTGAGTTAACCAGTATGTGTGTTGCTTCTTTATGTTCAGCCTGCACACATGAAGGGTTTTCTGCAAAGATATGGAAGCCTTAGTTCTCTTGGTGACATATTTCACACTGACTTGACCTTTCTACTTTAATCGTGAATGTTTTTCCAAGAAAGTGCATAAGTATCTTTTTTTCTCTTTTTTTTTTGCAATGCTGGGTCTTGAACTCAGGGCCTTCACCTTGAGCCACTCCACCAGCCCTTTTTTGTGATTTTTTTTTTGAGATAGGGTCTCACAAACTATTTGCCCAGGCTGGCTTCAAACTTCAATCCTCCTGACCTCTGCCTCCTGAGTAGCTAGGATTACAGGCGTGAGCCACCAGCACCTGGCAAAGATCTTTTTAATGGTTCACAATGTCTCTAAAACATATGTCAGTTTTCTGAGCCATTCCTTACTTGTAGGTATTCTGCTTATTTATACTTTTTTGCTTGAACATTCTTTTTTTGACAGTTCTAGGGCTTGAACTCAGGGCCTGTGGCTTGCTAAGAAGGGGCTCTGCCACTTGAGCCACACCTCCAGCCCTTTTGTCTTTAGTTATTTTTCAAATAAGTATTTTTCAAATTTTTGCCTGGGCTGGTCTAAGACCATGACCCTCCTCATGCCTCTAAGTAGCTGGAACCACAGAGTCTCATGCTACTACGCCTGGCTTGTTGGTTGAAATAGGGTCTCACTAACTTTTCGCCCAGTCTAGCCTCTAACTGTGATTCTTCCAAGCTCTGCCTCCTGAGTACCCTTGATTACAGGTGTGCACCATCACACCTGGCCCTGTAATGAACATTCCTATATGGGTATTTCTTTTATGTCTATTGGGTAAGTTCCCAAAAGTAGGACTAAAGAGTGTGTGGAGTGCATGTTCTGATATTACATTAACCTTTTTTTCTAAGTTTAAAAATTTTTGTCTCATAATACATGATTCAAATTTTAAAAATTGCAAAAAATGTAAAGTGAAAATTAAATCTCTATGTTCAGTCATACAGCCATTTACTTTGCCTCCACATGTGCAATCACTAGTTTCAGTTTCTCTTGTGTTCTTCTGGGAATATTCCACCCGAATTCTTTGGGCAGAAATGAGTGAAATCGTAATCTTTCATTATCACTATCACAATTATCACTATTGGCCTGTGTTTGGCCCACTTTAGTTTACTTTTAACTTATTCCAGGAATTTCCACACATTCCACCAGCCCTCAGTTTGCTGCCTCTCAGCTCCAAATCCTCCAGTGTCTGCTCTGCGATATTGGACCTGGGCTCTGCATATCCTCCTTTGCTAGCTGCATGATGTCATCCTCGGAGTATTAGAGAGACACTAGAGGTGGTGAGCTTTTTCTTCCTGGTTGTGTTTTGCTCTTGCCAGGCTCCTGCAGTGCATTCAGCCTCCTTAGCACCTGGTTCCTGTAGTGTGCAGAAGCCCAACCTTCCACAACTGACTCGCATATGCACATGGGGTGGTTTCACAGCAAGTAACACCATCTCTCTGAAGATGACTTCCCCTTTCTACACAGATGGTTGATTTTAAGGAAGTCCTAATTCTCTGCCATTCACTGAGGTGCACCTTTGCCCTTTTCAAGAAGGCCTGCTGGTCTTGACCCTGGAGCTATTTTGAGTTCTCTATTTCAGTCTGTACTTTCTCTCTCCAGGGTCAACCACTGCTACCAGGTAAAAATGTAAAATCCTTTGGATAAAAGAGCAACCAGTAATTTCATTAACACTGTATTATAGGATGGATTTGTCTATATTTATACTTAAGATTTTTTTACTTCCTGAACCCATGAGTTCACATCTTTCATTAGTACTAGAAAATTCTAAGCTGCTCCACTTATAGTATTCATCTCCTTCATACTCTGCTCATCTCTCCCCCTTCTCTCCTGTTGCTTTTATGTGGATTTTTTCTTATTGTCATCCCAAAAAGTCTTATGGTTAATTTGTTCAACTGTACTTCTGGGAACAGATGTCCTCTCTCTCTGTGTATCTGTATAGGTATATTTGGTGGTATTGGGGTTTGAACTCAGGATTTGATGCTTGCTAGGCAGGCGCTCTATCACTTGAGCTATGCCTCCAGCCTCTGTGTGTACATTTTACATATTTGCACAGTTGCATTGCCTATGCAATCCAAAATTTATTTAATTCAGTCAATAAATTCTCAAGATTTAGTCACTTAGGGAATTTGGATCTAGTTCATTTTATATTGTATGTTATTCCTTTGATTGTACTTTGTGTAACCATTCCCTGACTGTACAATACTTTCTTTGCCACTTTTTCAACCTATGTCACAAATAATCACTTCAGTTGTTCTTAGAATATGTGAACAAATGTTTTGATGATGATGTTAAACATCTTTAAATTTTTTATTGTGTTAAAATATATATGGAACTTACATTTCAACTTTAATGTATAAATTCTGTTTCATTTAATACATGTAAAACGTGTTGTAAACATGACCACTTTCACTACAGAACATTTTCCTCATTCCAAAAACAAACCCCTATATATTCAGAAGTCACTGTTACCATCCTAGCCCTTATATACCACTGATACGCCTTCTATCTATATGAGATTATCTATTCTGGATATTTCCTGTAACTGGAATTATACAATACGTGGCCTTCTGTGTTTGGCTTCTTTCATTCAACATTATTGACTTTTGGCTTGTTTCTACTTTTTGAGTATTGATGATAGTGCTTCTAAGAGCAGTATTATACAAAATATTTTACTAGTGTATATTAATTGCACAAGGGGTTTCACTGTGGTATTTCACACATGGCGTATGTTGTACTTTGATCAGATTAATAATCTCTTGCTCTTTACCTTATCTCCCCCATTTTTGAACAGTTTTCAGTGGGTTTCATAAGAAGACACAATGCATTACAATATTCTTCACCCCATCGTGTTTCTCCCTGCTCTCCCTGGACACACACACACACACACACACACACATTTTAGGTCTAGATTCTGTATATGTGAAAAAACATGAGAACTTTGTCCTTTGCCCCTCTGAACCTGGGTTACTTCACTCAGCATGATGATCTCTAGTTCCATCCAATATCTTGCAAATGGCATTCTTAATATATGTACTTTACCTTTCTGTTACTGTGACAAAATAACCAAGATAATCAACTGAATATGGGAAAACTTCCATTTTGCCTCATGAATTTAGCAGTTTCATTTCATGGTCATTTGGTCCTCTTTGGGCTGTGGTGACAAAATACATCACAGTGAGGTCACGTGATGAAGGAAGCCTATTCAACTCAAGGTGGCCTGGGATCAGAGATGGACAGGAAGAGGCCAGGGTCCCAATGCCCCCTTCAAGGGCGTGTCCTAAATGACCTAAGTTGCTCCAAATAGGCCCCACCTCTGAGAGCCTGATAGCACCATGGGCAGGGAACCAAACCTTCAACATATTGGCCTTTGGGGCCACTTCAGATCCAGCCAGAGTGCCCACTATGGTCATGAAATTGTCCACTCTCCCTTTCAGTGTTGCTTCAGATACATCGGGACTGTTTTAGTAATCCCAGCTATTCACGAGGCAGAGAGCAGAAGCATCGTGGTTCAAAGCCAGCCTGGGCAAATAGTTCATGAGACCCTATCTTAAAAATCCCTTATCCACTTTATCTCTGCCTTTAAATTGTATAATCAATTCACAGTTAATGTGATTATTGTTATAGATGGATTTGTGTTTGACATTTTACTTTTTGCGTCCTCTGTAGTCTGGCATCACTTTTGTGCATCTATCTCCCCTTCACTGCTTCCTTCCTTCCTTCCTTCCTTCCTTCCTTCCTCCCTCCCTCCCTCCCTCCCTCCTTCCCTCCCTCCCTCCTTCCTTCCTTTCTTCTTTCTTTCTTTTTGTGCAGTACTGGGGTTTGAACTCAGGGCCTACACCTTGTAACCATTCCACCAGCCATTTTTTGGGATGGGTATTTTCGAGGTGAGGTCTTGCAAACTATTTGCCCAGGCTGGCTTTGAATGGCGATCCTCCTGATCTCTGCCTCCTGAGTAGCTAGGATTACAGGTGTGAGCCACTGGCTGCTGGCTGTGTATTTCTGAGATACAGTCTTGCTTTTTTTTCCCTCAGACTGTTCTCAAACCTGATCTCTATCTCCCAACAGCTAGGATTACAGATGTGAGCACCAGCGCCCAGCTCTAAATTATTTTCTAATGTACATTTTAATTAGTGAGTACTTTTGTTCCTTAACAGTTTTTTCCCTATGTTCTGTTGCTCTGGAGCTTATCATATACATCTTTTTTTTGGTGGTACTTGGATTTGAACTCAGGGCCTCACCCTTGCTAGGGTGAGCCACTTCACCAGCTCTTTTTGGGGGGAGCATTTTCAAAATAGGATCTCTTGATATATTTCCTGGGTGGGCTTTGCATTGTGATCCTCCTGATCTCTGCCTCCTGAGTAGCTAGGATTACAGGTGTAAGCTATATCACTCGGCTCCTTAGTTTTCAAATAGAGTCTTGGTAAGTTATGCTGGCCTCAGCTATAATCCTGCTGATCTTCACTTCCCAAATCATTGGCTCATTACAGCATGAACCCACTGTCGCTCCTGGACCATATAATATTTAAAGTATCAAAAGTACTTCACCTTTGTTCTAAATATATGATTAGAGCAATGTTACCATATGTAGCTTTTATCTTTCTTATTCCTTCATTTCAGCTCTTATGTACAATGGAGTCTATATTTTGTTACAAAACCCCAACACTCTGTAATTTTTGTGTCTATTTGAAGAAGGTGCAGG